GCATTCTAGCTCCATGGCCTGTATTCTTAACCACTATGCTGATAGTGTTCAATAAATGTGCCCCTTTCCCTACCGCTTTCCTCCCTTCTCTGTGCTCCTACATCTTTCATATACTTCAGTGATGGGACTCAGAACATTATGTAAGAATTTACTAAAAAGAAGAAAAATCCTGTTCCTCACATTAACCTATTGCTTCATCTATGCATTTGAAAGTTTGTGGTACCTAAAGAGCCACTGATGCCTTCTGGAAACTATGTGTGGATTGTCACTTTGGGATCATGACCATTTGCCATGACTGTATTTAGTCATGTGATATACATAGATTTCCCCAAGTGCCTTCTGCAGATGGTTTCAGCCCCAACTGTGGATCATATCAAGTAGAACCTCAGCATAATGGACTAGGCTGATGATGGTGCCAATGTAATGAATCGTATGAGGGCTGGGGACAGACCTGGTAACTTTCTGAGGATCCTCCATATAAGGTTTCTAGGACTATGATTCTTGGCTCCCCAAATCCCTGAGGCCTTAAGATTCTTGCTGTCTGAAAGCAAATTCAGAGGCTTTGCCCCAAGCACTGTGGTCCAATGGTGTGTTGGAGACTTCACCACATTTAGTGATATTCCAGATTAAATCAACATGCCTCAGATTTGCCAGACATATTGTCACAGTAATATGCACCCCCAGTTCACACATTGATTGTTTGCCCTCTGGCAGCCAAATGCACTTAGAACTGGCAGTGATGATCTCATACAGCAGGAAAGCTGAGCAGTTGGTCAGATGATTAACACATTATTGAGATGGAGGAGTTGTGCATCACTTAATGAAAATATCTGAGCATTGCAGAATCAAGAGTTTCCAAACTTGAGGGCAGCCTAGGAGCCATCAAATCCAACTTCTTTATCTTGCAAATGTGGAAACGGAAGCTTTAGAACTGGGTAAATATTTTTGGCCTGAAAAAAGTTAAAGTGTAGTTCTAATACGACACACCCTGGGGGAACAGCACTCTGGTTACTGAGGCCTTCCTTTCAAAGGCTTCAGTACCTTCAGTGCTCAACTAATCATTAACTCATCCAAAGGGCTTGGTAACTTCTATTCTTCTTCCCCTTTAACAGTCTCTTCTATTTTTAAATGTCCACTTTGTACTGTGCTTACTCATAAGTGAATGAAGAATCCTCCCCACCCCAGCCCACTGTGGCTCAAATGCCACAGACGTCTCCTCCCCATTTCACAACCGGATGGACAGAGTGGGCTGTAGGTTGGAGATGAGGACAAGAACTGATCTTCCCAAACTGTTGCACACCCTATGTCTTGGGACCTTAAGGTATGGGTTCTCCAGGTGGTTTTCAGACTTTTCTCTTATGTAATTCTGTTCACTAGATGTAATTATTTGACAAATTGCTTATACTATTTTTAAATAATAAAAACCAGACATTGCCTTATGATGTTTCATTATAACAAAAGCCCTGCCTTCCATGTGTATAATGCTCCCTGGTTTTCAAAGCTACCACTTATGACTTCTTAAGCAGTCCTACCCACTCACCAAGAAGGGGGTTGTTCTGGGGACATGGGCTGTGTCTATTCTGTGGGGGCATGTAGGTAGGGCCTGGGAGATTGTTGTACTTCTCAAGCACTCTGAGCTCCTGAAAGTGACTACCCTGAGTTGCTCCTCATGTCTCACTCTCCACTTCTCTAGACTGATGATATTTATGACTGATTTGCAGGTGAATGCCACCTGGTGAGGCTTTGAATCAATAGAATGCCTTGTTCTTTCTCTGCAGGGTTCACCATTTGAACCATTTGAAGTCTTTTTTAAAAACCTATTTTTAAAAATGTATTGATTTCAGAAAAAGAGAGAAGGGGGAAAAAGAGAGAGACATTGATTTATTATTCCACTTATTTATGAATTCATTGGTTGATTCTTTTGCGTACCCTGACCAGGGATTGAACCCACAGCCTTGATATATCAGGACAATGATCTAACTCACTGAGCTACCCAATGCATTTCAAAGCAAACCATTTGAAATCTTACCATGTGTGACAGCATGGATGGACCTAGAGGTTGGCAAAGGGTCAGGAGGATGGAAGGAGGAATGTGCCCCAAGCTAAGATGCTTCTCACAGAAGTCAGAAAAGAATTCCAGATCACTAGCTTTGTTGAGATCCCTGTGCTAAAGAAACAGGCTCTAGGGGAAATCTTTTCTAGTATTGCTCTAGCATTAGATTATTTCCTAGTCTAGACCTCCCAAAATGTCTTTGATGTGTTAAAAGAGAAACCACAGGCTCAAAATGAAGTTGCTTATGCTAAAGTCCATGACACTGAACCTAGATTTAGCTTCATGGCAGTTTTAACCTTCTCTAGGAATGTAATCTTAATCTATCAATCTAGAATTTTCTGGTTAGTAACACAGAAGTAATCTGTTTCATGAATCCACCCCTTCAAGAAAATTGAGGCAATCTGTCTAATGAGACATGTGCCCTTCCCATAATAGAAAATAATGAAGCAATCCTTTTTATCTTTTTTCTTTTGCTAATGACTTTCTTTTTTAAACTTTTATTTTTCAATTACAGTTTACATTCAATATTATTTTGTATTAGTTTCAGATGTACAGTGTAGTGATTAGACAATCACATGCTTTACAAAGTGTAACCCCCCCTCCCCCAAATTTCCACTACCCACCCGGCACCATACATAGCTATTACAATATTATTGACTATATTCCGTATGCTGTATTCTACATCCCCATGACAGTTCTGTAACTACCAATTTGTTTCTTATCCCCTTCATCTTTTTCACCAGTCTCCCAAACCCCTTCCTCTTTGGCAGCCAACAGTCTGTTCTCTGTCTTTGAGTGTGTTTCAGTTTTGTTTGTTTATTTCATTCTTTAGATTCCACTTACAAGTGAAGTCATATGGTCTTCATATGTCTTTCTCTGACTTATTTCAATTAGCACAATACTCTCCAGGTCCATCCATGCTGTTGCAAATGGTAAGATTTCATTCTTTTTTTATGGCCAGTTAATATTCCATTATATATATGTACCACAACTTTTTTATGCACAAGCCTAGGCATTTGGGCTGCTTTCATACCTTGGCTGTTTTTAACTACACTGCAATGAACATGGGTCTTCACACCTTCTTTTAAATTAGTATTTTGGCTTTTTGGGGATCTATACTCAGAAGAAGAATTTCTGGGTCACCAGGTAGTTCCATTTTTAACTTTTTGAGGATCCTCCACACAGCTCTCCATAGTGGCTTTGTTAGGTAGGACAGATAGCAAACTAAGGCAAGGAGCAAACTGTGTCTCACCCTAATTCAGCAGTTCTGGGTCTGGTCCAATAATATTGACAGGTGTTCCAACATCATAAGAAACACCATGCTAGCACTAAGGAGGGGAGCCCTTGAAATTCTGTGTGTATTGTTTCCACTATCAGGGAAAGAAAGCCTTTGAATCTGTATTCATCCCCCAAGAAGGGGGAATAAGAGGGGGTCGACAGTGCCCAAAGAAGAAGCTCATAAAACAACTTTGGTTAATTGTCTACCTCTGGCTACTATTTTATGAAGGTCCCTAATGCTTATATAAAGAGCCCATAAACAACTTTAGGTAACTGCCTCAACTTTAATTAACTGCCTCCTATCTGTGTCTGTTTTATGACAAGAGGAACAAGGTTAGTTTGGAGCAAGATTCAAGCTAACAGACCCCCACACATACATACGTTTAGGTAGTACCCCACACCCACTCCAAGCTGGCACCACCTTTACTCATTAATCAATATGTACCTCTACCTCCATCCCACCAACTATACAAGTCCTGGGAACAAAGGACCTGATCCTCTTGCCACCCCTGATCTTGCCACTCTTGCTTTTTGCCACCCAAGCGTTTGCCTTGCTCCCCCACCTTCGAAAGGCCCCTTCTCTTCCACTAGAACGTATCATTAATAAACCCTGCTTACACAGTACTAGACTTGCTGATCTGCAATTCTTTACCACGTTTACCAGAAGAACGAGTGTAGAGTTTCTCTGGTAACAGCTTCATTAATCTTCATCCTCACCAATAGTTCACCAGGGCTCCCACTTGCTGTTTGTATATTTATTGATGATAGCTATCCTGCCAGGTGTGAGGTGACATCTAAGTGTGGCCTTAATCTGCATTCCCCTGACCATAATAGCTTTCTTGTCCTCATCAGCTCCTGCCTATAAAAACCTTCCACATTCTATGCTTAGCTCTACTTACTGGATGGCATGCTGCTCCACTCATGAATCTTTCAATATAGCCAGTTAGATCTTCAAATTTACTCGTCTGAATTTTTGTTCTTTAAAAGAAATCAATATGGCTTTAGGGTAGACTTTAGCTAAACACAACGTGCTACAACATAGTCCTGGCATAGCCTCCTCCAGAGAGTATGGCAAGCAGGATGCAAGTGCTCAGCTAGAGTCAGCCAGCCTAGGACGCAAATCCCAGTTGAACCGCTTACTATAGCTGTGACATCCAGCAAGCTGGCTTTTCTGAACTTCAAGTTTTTCATCTGTGAAATGGGGTTAATGATACACAGTTGTCCAGAAATACCAGAAAAAATATGTAAAGTGCCTGCTTGATACAGCTCTGTATCAAAAGTGGTAGCTATTATTATTAACAACATAAGGAAAGCTTATGGGGACCTAAGCAGGAAATCAACAGCTCCTCTGCAATAAGGAACCGAAATAGGCCTGAGTGGGCTCCACCCACCGGATCTGCAAGTCCGCTCCCGAGGGGGAGAGACGGGAAAAGGTCTCCTTGCCCTCCCCCACCCCGAAGCCAGTTTGACTGCCCCACAGACTGAGCCAAAGGCTGAGCTGAGCTGGGGGTAGGAGGGGGTTATTTTGCTTTCAAAAAGGTTTAAGACTGCTCTGGATCTCCTTGTCAGGGGAAGAAAGAGATAAGCCAGGAAACTTAAACTGACAGCCAAATTCGAGGAAGGTCCCTGGATCGGAGGGGGGAAAGGTTATCTTTAGGCCACCTTCTACCTTCGCGGCGAGCTGAGCCAGAGTCAGCTGATTCTGCGCTCGTCCTCCTGATCCTCCCCAAGGCGCACAACTGTGCCCTGCCTGCCCCACCCCTTCTCCCGCTAGCGCTGTCGTAGCGGCCTCCTCCCAGCCAATCATCGGCTGCCCGACAGCTCAGCCTTTTCCGTTCAGCGCTTGTCTGCTTTTCCGGGGCTAGTGTGGGTGGGGGAAGACGCAGAGGTCACAGTGCACCCTTATGAAAATAACATACATATTTCCACGAAGGTCTCTACCGGGGATGCACCACTTAAGGACAGGAAGGCAGCCGGACTTTCGCCGTGGCTGCACTGTGCCGGATCTGTTCAGGAGTTTTCAGCTGCCTAGGGCTCGGGGAAAACAGTGCGCCTTTTCTTCCCTCCAAAACGACTCCATCTGTGACACTAACTGATCCCCTCCCTTCCAGCTTGTAGACGACAGGATTGCAGTATATCTCAGCCTCTCAGACCAGGTTGAGAGAGTTGAAAAGAGGGTGGTACTTGTAAGAAGAAATATTTTGCAGTGTAGAAGCTTCAACCCTCAGGCCTAAATCCGTCCAGCTACTACACCGTGCTCGAACTAGGGAGAAGAGAAAGGACAAGTCCTTCAGTCCCTTCTTTGTGTCTGGAACTTTACTTTTGTCCTCTCACTTAATCCTCACAAGACCCTATAGGGAGGTGAATGGTTATTCTAGTTCTGGAAATGAGGAAACTACGGCTCTGAGAGACTAAGAATTTTACAGCTCCTGAGGGTCTGGTTTGCAATAAAGCTGAAGTTTTCTCTTAAGTGAGGGGGCTTGTACCTGGACACCAAGTACTGCCTAGACTCAAATTCCCATGGTTCCCTTGTTTGTTTTGGGAACAGACCGCAAGGGCAGTCTGTATTCTACTTCCTAGAGCAAAGTTAAAGGCCTTTCTAGGCCCTCTCACACCTGGATGCAGTTAGTTCATTGTTTAGGTAGAGACTACTTTACCACTTTGTCACTTTGAAGGGGAATCTTGAGTTCCTGAAACATCTCTCAGGCAGTAGAATGCACAGCGCTTTCCTTGACCCCACAAGCCTGGTTCAGCTGCCTCCTGCAGGACTCCTGCATACTCTTTTCGTAGCCCTTATTACACCACGTGTTGCATTTGCCTATTTATCTAGCTCCTGGAGGGAAGGTGAGCGCAGCAACCCCGGCTTGGTTGTAACATTAGCATTAGGCTGAAATGCCAGGTCCAGGTCCCAGGTACACCAGTGTTCCCCAGGAGCTCTGTTTGCAAACCACTGACAAGAGTTTTGAAGTTAAAAGTAAGGTGTGAAAGAAACCTGCAAACCTTACCTTTGACGATCATGACAATAACATTGGTTGTCATTTATCTAGTGTTTATATGGAACAGGCATTGTTCTAATTCAGTGATTTTCACTAAATTAGATTCAGCTAGTACACACTGGTATGCCACAAGAATTTTTAAAACATACAAAATCTGACTATTTAGCCAGGGGCACTGATCTTTTTTCCCCTTAGATTGTCAAATTAAAAAATAACGGCCAACACAACAATAGCTGCCCAGTGTGAATGCCGTGTCTTAAACCATAAATACATAGGTTATATGATAGAGTTCCATCTTATTGGTCATGTGTCATAATTAGGTTACATCTGATTGGTTAATTCTTGATACCTGCAATCCGTATATACGAATATAGGCACCTGAATTTTTCAAAAGTCATATAGGAGCAAAAAGGGTAGGTAATTACTTTTCTTGGTAAATCAACCAAAATTATATTTTTTTTGTCAGATTGGCAAAAAATATACATTTTTTGGTGTGCTGCAGAATTACACTAATTAGTTTATGTGTGCCATGAGATGAAAAAGGTTGAAAATCACCGTTCTGCCCTTACTGATGGCTCAGTACAGGTGGGTTGGTTGGTTGGATGTTGTCCCACAAAGCAAAAGTTCGCTGGTTCAATGCCTCAGTTGCAGGTTCTGTGCTTGGTCAGGGTGTGTACACGAGGTAACTAAGTGATGTTTCTTACATCAATGTTCCTCTCCCTCTCTTTCCCCCTCCCTTCCTGTCTCTCTAAAAATAATAATAATAATTTAAAAAAATAGAAAATTGTTGTTCTAAGAGCTTTAGCGTAGTGCTCCTCGAACTTCAATATGCATTCAAATAATCTATGGATCTTGTTAACCTACAGATTCTGATTCAATATGTCTGGGGTGGTGTCTGAGATTTCGTGTTTCTAACAAGCTCCCAGGTAAAGGGAGCTTGTTAGAAAGCTCCCTTTGTGTAGAAAGTCTTTGTGTAGCAAAAGGCTTTGGTGTACTAAAACTTATTTTATCTTCTTAATAGCCATATGAAGTAGGTACCACTATTACTCCTATTTTACACACACAAAAAAACAGGCTAGGCACCTATGAACTTAGGTCAAAATAATTAAATTTCTGTGCAGTGAGGGAGGGAAGAATAGTATAATCAGGGCAGAGCTGAAAAAGGAGGAACAAAATTCTTGGCAGAGGAAACAGTATTTACAAAAGCCTGGTATGCAGCGGAAGTGGATGGGGCCACACAGAGGGCTGTTCTACCCATTAGGCACCACATGCACAGCCCTTAGGACCAGGAGCTTCCCAAAGGCCCCAAATATTTGAGACCTGAAAAAATTATTGGCACCTATATATGAAAACTAAACATTTAAATTAATTATTCCAAAATGCAAATAATAAAAAACTCAAAATTTTTACATTAAAAATTCACATTTGGTAAGTGATCTAGATGTATTTTAATACATTTGACAAAAAATAGGATTGGATTTTTCAAGTTTAGGGCCTACAAAGGACAGGATAGGCCTTGGCCATGCTGGGTTTGGATGTAATTCTGAAGGCAGCTGGGAACCAGTAATAGAAACAGGAAAATGTTCTCTGTGACTACAATGAGGAGAATGGATTGGAGGGAATCCAGACTGAAGGCCCAGAGGCTAGAACCAGATAGGTGTTTATAGTCTCCAGACTGCAAGACAATCTCTCCTCCTTGCCAAGATTAACATAAAATGATAGCATTATACAACCCAATTATTCTTTGATTTCTCAGGGGCCCAATGTGACTCAGCTTTCTAAATTTACTTAATATTTGGGAAGAAGGGTTTTGCCAATTCCTTTGTCATTAAGGCCAGTGACATGACAGTCTAGGGGAGATATTTAAGAGGACATGCCTTGGGTCAGACAACCATGAGTGCCAACCTCAGCTCTGCTATTTGCTAGCTGTGTGACTTTGCCTAAGCAACTTAACTTCTCTGGGCCTCAGATTCCTTATTGGTAAATGGTCATAATACATTTCTTACAGAATTGAGATAAGCTATACATACAGTGCCTCCTACAAAATAGATATATGTAAATAATAGTTGTTATGATTTATGTGCCATTGTTCTGGGGCGTAGTTGAGTTTTCTTTAGGACTGAACAGAGGGTGGAGTAAATCATTTAATCTTTTCATAAGTCTCCTGAGGTAGAAATTATTGTCTCTACTTTGCAGATAAGAAAACTGGGGCTCAGAGATGAGATAAATCAGCTCAGTAAACTAGGAGCAGAAAGCGGGAAACTTGCAAAACTGAGATTTTATTTTTATTCTGTTTGGACACCCTCTCCAGGAGTCAATGATAGCAGCTTCCACTATTCTATTCTGTGCTAGGTCCAAAACCTGTTCGCCTTAGTCGCAGCATGAACAGTCCCGATGTCCCAGAGCACGCCACTGAACACTCTCCTCAGGGCTAACCTCTATTTCCCTTCTTTCCCCAGCCTTGCCTAACTTTCCTACCACTTGCTCCACAATTTTACAGCTTCTGGGTTTCATTTGCTACAGATCTTGTCTCTTTGAGACTCAGACAGAACTGCCCTGGACTGAGACGCCTTCCAAGGTACCTCCCTTTAAGGGAGTAGATAAGTAGGTCACATTAGGATGGTAGGGGAGGAGGCTGACTTCTCAATGGAGAAGGAAAAACACTGCCAATCACATAGAGAATGGAATAACAAAACAAGGGGTTTTTTTTTGCTTCTCAGTCTTTTTCCCATATACATATCCTCGCTCTCCCCTCCTCCTTTCTCTCTTTCCTCTCTATTTCTATCTCTCTACCTCATATTGAAAGCAGCAACCTTAAACCCCCACCACTGCAGCTGGCTACTATTGCTGTGAAAAGCATGCACAGGCTACACCGAACTCTTGAGGTTTGGGAACACCAGTGGAAATTGCACTGAGCAGAAAGTTTGCCTACGACTCCCTATCTCCGCCCCCAACTCCTCTTCAAGCCACTCCTACAACTGCCAGGAGAGGGGAGATCTCAGCAAAGGATTTAAATCTTCTGTCCTGTTGACTGCTCCTCTAGGCCTGAAAGTAGAGAGCTCCTGGGCTTAGAGGCTGTCAGGTAAGGAAGGCACTGGCTTCCAGTGGTTGCCTGAAGTAGCCTAGGGTCTGGTTAACAGAGATTCTGTTGTAGCAACCGGGACAAGTCACAGACTTTGCGAGATTTCTGTTCCTCACCCTCATCCCTAACCCCCTTGAAGACAGTTCACAGGAGAGGTGTGTAGGGGCATAACATTATGTAGATTAGTGTGACAACCAGAGAGACAGAGACAAGGCGTGGCATTAAGGGTCCAATACCACCAATCCTGCCCTGCCCTGCTATCCCTAGGGACTAAGCCCTATGTGAATCAAAACTGGGAGGTCACACTTCTAGGAAACTGTAGCTGAAGGGGAAAGGTCCTGGCTGCTTGAATGAGACCCAGCCTGGCTGTGTACAGATGAGGAATGAAAATGGGTATCCGGGCAGACACCAGTCCATGAACTCTGTGCCCGGGTGCAAAGCAAGCACACAAAAACAAAGACCATAGCCTGACCCTCACACCTGAGGGTCAATGACCCGGGTTCCCTAAAGGGGGGTTGTGGAAATAGGGAGTTCACTTCTGGAGAGGCCCAGGGATTTTCTGTCCTCTTGGCATGGAACCTGTTGACCTTGCAGCCTTACTGAGGCTCACTGTTTCAGGATTGTTAG